TTACCAGTACATAAGGCTAGTGTGTGGTTAAAATAAATGAGTTGAACGGCTGTACAGCTTGTGAAACCCAGGATGTGGTTAAACTGTAAAGCTTTGCTTCTTCAGTATGGAACTAGAGCAACCAGAACGAAGCTTAAAATGTCAACTATGTTAACATAAGGGGAATTAGACCTCCTCTAGGCACCATCTGATAGGAAAAGAAGCAAAACATCTGATTTAGCAAACACCTACCTGGAAATCCCAAAACTACCCTCAGAAGGTTGCCATAGCAATATTGATATTTTGTTAAGCATGCACAGAGAAGACTGTCGTCGGAATTTCCCTGGTTGCTTAGAAACACAAGCACAGGAGGCCAGATATGGAGTACTACATGTAACAGTCAGTGCAATGGAAACACCTGGCATTTAAGCTGACAATAAAAACGTTATTGTGTGCGTGCTCCAGGTCACGTTCTGTGCGCTTGACCAAATCTCTGCAGACTCTTCATATAAAAATTTTGGAGACTTTCAAACCATGTCCCCAATAGGGGGAAGAGTCCAGAATCTCATCATACTGACCAAGAAGGGAGAAAGGTGCTCCTAATTTTAATCATAAACTAGCTGATAACCCGGTGTTGCCTGGGTATTTATCCTAATCCTGTATTAGACAGGAAAATCCCTGATTTTTGTTGAAAATGTCCGGACCAAACATAATTTCTAATGTTGGATTTTCTCCCTTACCAGAGGGAGCCCCCTTATTGAGTATTGTGAAGCTGTTACCATGGTAACTCAACTGCGCTATACAGTAGTAGTGGTGAGATTCATTTTTTTTTTACTACTGGTTCTGTGGCCGTGGCTTTGTGGGCATGGCAGGAGAAAGATACTGCAAAATCCTCATTCCCTCCCCACTCTCAAAATTTCCACTACAGGTTCTCCAGAACCTGGCTGACAATAAAACACATCTGAGTAGAAACCATTTTACGGCAGTACAGTAGAAGCCATTTTAAGGCACAACAAGCTGTAACCTAACAGAACACCACCACCCTCGAGGGGTGTTAGGGGTGTCTTACCCCCACAATATTTGTTTCCAGAGAGTAAGTCATCTGTGTACGAAGTTTGGTAGATAGATAGATAGATAGATAGATAGATAGATAGATAGATAGATA